CTCTATTCACTCTATACTAGAGGGCTTAAGGCCTTAATACTCTATACTAATACTTAATACTAGGTAATATGCTACTAAGAAACCCTTTATAGGAAGAAAACTTAGGCTATATTATATAATATATAATTAAGTAGATAATATATATATATAATACTATATAATAATTAGCTAGAGGCTATTAGTACCTTACTATATATATAGGTCCCTTGAGGGAGGGACCTACTTTTTATAGTAGGTCCTTAATTAATTAGAAGAGAGGAAAAGGGGTTCCTATAGTTAGGATTAAACTGATACCTATGCGTTTAAGTAACGTATAAGCCTACTAGGCGCACACTACTGCGCTATATAGGTATCTTAATATAATATAGTTTAAGTAACTATTTACTTAATAGATAATTATTAAAGATATTTATAGAATTTATATATACTTAGAGGGGTAATTAAATAGAGATATTTATCTTTTTAAAGAGATCTATAATATATAGTAAAACTTTCCCTTTAAGTATTAGATTTATCTATTTAGCTTTATAAGTTAATATAACTATAAATAACTATAATATTAATTTCTAAGTAATTAATACTCCTCTATATATAACTATATAGTTAGCTATTAATTTATCTATTTTGTTATAATTAAACTAATTAGTATTATAGAATATTAATAATTTAAAGTTATTAATAGAATAATTTAGATTACTAAAGTAAAGTACTAGTTATTATAAACTATAGAGATATCTCTATATTAATCTTAGTAGTTTATTATACTTTTTAGAGGTATATTATTAATCTCTAATAGCTTTACCTATAAGTATTATAATATTTAGTTATATACTATTTATAATCTATTATAACTTATTTAGATTATTTTAATATTTATATATCTTAGTAGGTGTTTTATATTATTCTATAATCTTTAGTAACTAAGTATTACTAAGGGGGTAGGGAACTTAGTTATATCTAGTAATACCCTTCTCTATTAATATATTATTAATATACTTAGTCTATAAGATCTAAAATTATTTTATCTTTTAGTAGTAAATAATTTTAAACCTAAGAAACTATTATACTTTACTTAAATCTTTAATCTAGAAGAAGTTATATAAATTATTTTTAAAGTTATTAACTTATTTAATATTAGGTATAATAATAAGTATATTATTAATATAAAGTAATATTATAATATTATCCTTATTAATAAGAATATAAAGTTCTTTTAGGAATAAATTAAACTCTAATGATTTAAGAATAGTAATAGTTTATTTATACTAGAGAAGAGGGGATTCTTTTAATTTATAGAGAGCTCTTTTTAATTTATAAAACTAATTAGATTTATTATTAAACCTATAAAGTTAAGTAATAAAGATATTATAATCTCTTATAAAGGTATTTAAGAAAGCTATAACTATATTAACTTAATAAAGTTTTAGATCTTTAAGTATTATAATTAATAAAAAGACTTATAAAGTAATAAAANAGAGTAATAAGATTAGTAATAATAATATTAACTATCTTATTATTTTTATTTTAAAAATTACTATAAATAACTTATTTTACTCTAACTTTATTAAGTCTTCTATCTATAATAACCTTTTTATTATATATTTATTTATTTAGGAGATATTTAAAGCTATTTAAAAGCTTTTTAAGCTATTAATATTTTATCTTTTATAAGCTTTTAGCTTAAGTTTTTATAATATTAAAAATAGCTAACTTTAGAGGTCTTTCTTCTATTACTTCTTATTTCTTAAAAATTATAAATAAGTAAATCTCTAAGTTAAAGGTTTATAATAAGTTAAATATTAAGAAAATAAAAGTAATTAGTTTTTAGTCTATTTTATTATTAATTAAATTAATCTTTATAGTTTCTATCTTATTAAATTTCCTATTAAACTTCTTTATATTATATAATACTTAGGTTCTAAATATCTAAGTTATTTAAATAGAAGAAGAAGTAATTATTCTTAGTAATTTTATAAGGATAAAGTTCTTATTACTACCTTTTAGTCTTCCCCTCTATTTTCTTTATATTAAATAAGGAGTTTAAAATAAAATACTAAGAGAGCTTTATTATTATAAAATATCCTCTAGTAATTATTATTACTAAAGAGTAATAAGAGATCTCTACCTTAGAAGAATAATAAAAGAATATTACTCTAAAGGAATTTATTAATTATTTTATTATAAGGAAGAAACCTCTTTTAATATTAATTATACCTATATATTTATAGTATTAGTATCTAATATTAATATATATAGTTTTAGATCTAAGGTTAATAAACTACTTCTCTTACTACTAACTTCTTTTTATTTTTAAAAAAACTTATCTTTTTATTTTTATTTATTATTACTTTCTAATTCTTAAATTTCTTTTAAATATAAATTACTTATTTTATCCTCTTATTATTCTTATTTAATAGGGTTAATATATAGTTTACAATATCTATAAAACTAAATTTTAACCTTATAAGTTATAGTTAGTAATTTATTCTTATATTTATAAGTCTATAACTTAACCTCTTTTCCTAGCTATAAGTTATTAAATTTAACTAAGGGGAGCTCTCCTTTATTTTCTTTAAATATTATATCTTTTACTTATTAAATATTATTAGTCTTTTTAATAAAAATATAGAAGATATTACTATAAAAGCTATTATATTTTATAAATTTTTTAAATTTAGTTTTAAGCTTTATTTTCTACCTTTTTATATATAGATAGCTATTTAAGTAAATATAGATATAAACTTAGTAACTTTAGTAATAAAAATAGTATATATATAGTTTTCTTATAGTAAGAGATATATTAAAGGTATTTATTAGTTTTTTATAAGGATTAATATTACTTTTACTATTAGATAGTAGAATACTAACTTCTATAGACGTCTTTATTAACTAAAGCTAAAAGGATTTAAGAAGGTTAGCTTTTATATATATTACTTATATTAGAAGGTATTAAGGGTACTTCTCCCTCTATTTACTCTATACTAGAGGGCTTAAGGCCTTAATACTCTATACTAATACTTAATACTAGGTAATACGCTACTAAGAAACTCTTTATAAGAAGAAAACTTAAGCTACGTTATATAATATATAATAAGGTAGATAATATATATATAATACTATATATAGTAATTAGCTAGAGGCTATTAGTGCCCTACTATATATATAGGTCCCTTAAGGGAGGTACCCACTTTTTATAGTAGGTCCTAAACTAATTAGAAGAGAGGAAAAGAGGTTCCTATACTTAGGATTAAACTGATACTTATATGTTTAGGTAACGCATAAGCTTACTAGGCGTATACTACTACGATATATAGGTATATATATTACTTATACTTTTTACTATATAGCTTTATTAAAACTTTCTACCCCTTTATTCTAGTAATAAAAGTAAAGTATTACTAGGGTTAGCAAACTAGTCACCTAGTATTTAGTCAGACTAGTTAGTTAACTAGTCTAGTCAGACTTAAGTTAACTAATTTAGTTAACTTAACTTAACTAGCTTAGTCTTAGTTAATAGGGTGACTTAATTAGGCTAGTCCTAGTTAATTAGTAATAGACTAGTTAGTGACTAGTTAAG